AGACTAATGGGTCTATAATTACTGGGATAATTTTTATCATCTCCGTTGAAAAGAGGAGTTACATTAGCTAACTTCCAATCCTCTTGTACCTGCACTATTCAAGGACTGACAAAAAGTAGTAGCAAGTGGCTCACATATCCAATATTTAACCTCCTTCAAAACCCTTGGGGAAATATTATCTGGCCCAAGAGTCTTATCATTTTTTAAACTTCCCAGGTTTTTCTTAACCAACTCAGAATCAATGCAGTCATCTTGTTTGATCTTGTTGCCATTTATAAACTGATCAAGATGTGGAATACTGCTTAAATCTTCATTAGTAAAAAGCAAAATTTAATAACCCAGCCATTTCGTAATCATCATATACTAGCTTTCTTTTATCATCCCTCAAGGGTCCTATCCCCCATCCTAACATTTTGTTTACCCTTAATGTATTTAAAGAACTCCTTACTATTAATTTTTACATTTTCAGCCAACCTTTTCTCATACATCCTTTTTGATGTCCTAATTTTCTGTTTCACCATCTTTCTTGATCTTCTATAATCTTCTACATCTCCTGTCATACCATGATCTGAGTGAATTAATATTTTGTCCAACAAAGAGGAACTTTGATTTTTTTCTGAAATATTTTCTCAAACATTAGGCCTAGTTCTATTTTCTTTATACTCTGAAATTTTGAAACTTTTAATTTATGGTTCTTTATTAAGCTGAAATATTGCACTATGAAGAATCTTTAGTCTATAGAAGTAACTGTACATTGCACTTGGGTAAAGTTTAATGTGTTTCCTATATTTAGGTTCTGGAGTTATTATAGAATGTCATTTAGATAAGAACTACTTGTATTCATTAGGTGAACTACTTAATATACCATCATAACATTTAAGGAATGACAGAGAGACTGATGGTCTCTACTTGAAAAAAAAACCTCCGATCCAGCACTGGTCATTTAAATATTTATCTACCCCTCTTTTAAATGCCATTAAATTTACTGCATCTGCCCATATCTAAAGGCGAACCATTCTAAGGGTCATCATCATGTTATAAATGTAAAACTGTTAAGTTAAAAATTATTTCTACTTCACCAAATGGCTTGTGTAAAAAGTATGGATAATATATCACAAAAATTTTGTAAGTTTTGCAAAAACAATATCTAATTCTGGTTGTTTTAAAACTACTAAAAGAATGGAGCTAAATATCCTCCAACCCTTGTCCAAGAAGTGAGATTAAACAATATCTAATTCTGGTTGTTTTAAAACTACTAAAAGAATGGAGCTAAATATCCTCCAACCCTTGTCCAAAAAGTGAGATTAAACAATATCTAATTCTGGTTGTTTTAAAACTACTAAAAGAATGGAGCTAAATATCCTCCAACCCTTGTCCAAGAAGTGAGAATAAACTCCAATTCAGCTGAATTTTCTGTATAATAATTTTAGGAGTATAATCTTTAAATCTTTTGGTTTTATTATTATCTCGTAGAATGTCTCGTCGAGATTGGAGTTTCGATTGCAAAGTATATGTTGGGAACCTAAACAGTGGAGCAGCCAAACATGAAATAGAGGCAGCTTTCAATAAGTTTGGTCCTCTTAGAAATGTCTGGGTTGCCCGAAACCCACCAGGATTTGCATTTGTTGAGTTTGAAGACAGCAGAGATGCTGAAGATGCAGTTCGAGCCATGGATGGAATGTAAGCACTTAAAACTTATTCACATATGTTTGAGTAATTCTACTTCTGAAGGTGTACTAGGTATATATATCTTTGGTGATTTTTGCTAGTAAAGCTACTCAAATATTTGTTTTTTTACACATATGTCATTGGAATATATGTATATCAAACTGTTGAAGGACTATCATTATAACTTAAAAATAATCAAATCATTTACAACTGGGTCTTTTATTTTATTAATTGTCATGAAAATGTTTAAGCTTTGACTGTACATCTCATTCCAGGGAAAGAATGGAAATGTGCAGATGTTTTACTTTCTCTTTTTATGTAATTTTTATTACTTGTTTTCATTAAATAATCTTCACAGAAAAATTTAGTTCCTAAGCCTAATGTTTACTTCCTCTTCCATCCCTCCCAAAATCAGATAATGATTAGAAAACCCTACCAAAATGTTACACATTTGTTACTGTGTTAAACTTGTAAATAAAGTTTTCTTCATTACCCATTCAAGCTGTCTCTAGATCTTATTACAACTGTAGTTGAAACTGAACGTAACTTGTACTAAACTTACATAGTTAGTAACTGGAGAGTGCTTGTACATTTAACTTAGCAATTGGTAACAGTGTAATTATATCTATATTACATGGTTAGTATTTATTAATAGAACTAAATAATACAAATCCTTACATTATAAAGATTAGATTAAATGAATGAAGAGGAGTTTAATGCTAACAATTCACAGGTTCTCCTCCTTTCAATACTGAAGTCCTGTTATGGTAAGTTGTCAGAGTGCAGTCCAGGAGTGTGGCTCCATCCGTAATTCCAAACCACTAATCACGGAAGCAACTGGCCGGGATCAGCCACTTACTTATTTATATGTGTATTAACTTATTTTTAATATTAGTTTTTATTTTATTATATCACTTATATTTTTCATAGTAAGTACCCAATATAAATAAGATGATTTAATGTTGTTACTATACACTTTAGGGGTTTACACTGGCCTTGGCATAGGCTTTCCTCTGTCCAGTAATCACCTCAGAGTTCTGATAAAGCCCAATCAGTAGATTTAACCGATGACTGTCCTTCAATGTTAAAAAGAAAAGGAAATTAACTAAGTCAAAATTCCTGCCTTCATGGTTCTAAGTTATTTTATACATTGTATATGATATACATAAACATTAAATACTTATGACATGTTTTACATTAGATGTTATAATAATATGTATGTCAACAACAGGTAATCCACTACTTAGGAACAATAAGTGTGTCCGTTTATAAATTTCTTGTTCACTAATAATGGATCTAAACTTTATTTAAGATCTAAGTTTAGTACGTCTGTGTTAAATTAACTGTTGTTCAGAAAAGCTGTAAATTCAAATGTATGTAAGCCTATCTGTAATTACAGTAATAATAATCTGGCAAACCAAACATCTTAAGCCTAATCTACTCTGGTAGAAACCTCATGACTTATGTAGTCCAGACTTAAGTGTTAAATAAGTAGAATACTTATCTTTAACAAACTCTGTGTATGTTATGAATTACCTATCTCGGGCTTAGTGAAATAAATAAATAAAATACTATAACTATATTCTTAGGAATATAGGCTTATTGTTGTTATTATAATTATTATTATTATTCAGAGTTAAAATTTTGGAATAGGCCTCGGGAAACATGACTAAGATTCTCCTCAGACCATTATTGTTGATTACTCAAATTTTAGCTTGCAGGCATTATTCTCAGATTACTATTGATTTTACATTAAGATTATATATATAAAATGTGCATATTCGTACACTAACTTGGACATTTGGGTTTATGTTTCATTTAATACTGTCTAGGCTTAGAGCTCGGAAGTATAATTTCTTTGAATTATAGGTGTAGTACATAGATGTCATTACATAACAGGTTATTGTGGGAATGTAAGCAACAAGTAAAGCATGAAATAGCAGATAGTGTATAACACATTATTTGACAAATGTAAGTGTAAGATGTCCATAAAAACCACACTGCTGGATCTGTTTTGGACAGGTTTGTTTTACATTTTGTTTTTGATATATCTTGATGATTAAAGGTGCAGATATGCTGTCAAGTTGGCCAGTATCAAAATTAAACCATGCTTTTATTAGCCCATTTGAATATAGGTAGGTCAAAACTGAAAACAAGAACACTTAATGTTACCACTCTTTCACTGCATCGTAACAAATTGTAGCTGTTCTTTCCAGCAAACAAAGAAATCAGGTTTATAGATTTTAAGAAAACACTTAATATTGGACAGTTTCAAGGAGCTGATATTGCAGCATCTTCAGTAACACATACAAACTACTCAAATTGAAGCTTGATGTTAGGAATTTTATTTTCCTTTCAGTTTGGGAAAAAATGATAGAAAATTAATTGCTCTTTGCATATGTATTATGTATAAATTTGTTTATTGTTAAGTTATCTTCATCTCATTAATTGTAAGACTGGTTTTTAGATATGCATGACCTTCAGTTTAATTTATGTCTGCTCCAGTTATATATTCTGTTTTTTAGGAAATAAAATCAGTACTGCTGAAAGTTATTTTTATTTTGTGTTGGATGATCATAATACGTGAGACTGGCACTGATTCAGGGTTCAGATTATTAGCCATTGGTAAGAAGAAGAAGAAAAAAGTTTAGATTTTCAACTTGTCAAATGCCACTAAGCATTTAATGCAGAACTTGTACTGTTGTCTGTACTCTTAACTACACATACAGCATGTAACAAATCATGTTTGTTTGTTTTTTATGTAGAATTATTAGTAAACTGTAAGATACTGCTCACTATGCAAACAAGTATTGTCATTTTTAAACCCTGTTTAGCAGATGCAGTTTACTTCATATGGATTATTTCTATCATTTAAAAATCAAAAAAGCAGCCATGAAGTGGGTTAACTGTTAAAAGATAACAGTAAATAACTTGCAGTTCTGTACTGTATATGCCATTTGGTAGATGGTTAAGTGACAGCCAATTCTTAGCAAAGATTTGATATAATGTTTACATATTTTTTTGAGTTATAGAAGATTTAGTTTTATGGAGTTAATACTGAATTTAATTTTTTTATAAAGGAGAGTTTGTGGTAGCAGAATAAGAGTGGAAATGTCTCATGGTCGATCAAGAAGAGGACGTGGAGGAGGAGGTCGACGTCCACCTCCACCACCACCACCACCAAGGTAGAGTAATCTATTATATATATATTACAGTTGGCTGTACCTGCAGCAGTTCAACTTGTTGGGGAGAACTTGTCGCCTTCGGAATAAAAACATACTTAAATAAAGTTCAATATTTATTTCTTTGAAATTCATGATGCAGAAAATCAATTTTTTAAGGTGTTTTTAATGTTGTTAGTATTTGATTTTATAATGATCTGTTAATAATGATTCTGACTACATCCTTTTTATTACAATTTTTTACACGTATAGTGTTCCTCATTTGGCTTAAACTTACGTGTTTTTATTTCTTCATTTCAATAAATTTTGTGAGAAGTTCTATAAAGTAACTGCTTTTGTCCTAGATGCATGCGTTACACCATTCTGTGCGGAAGTATGTGACAGGGACAGTAGAAGTCCATACTTTTCTCTTACTGTAATTATAGAAGGTAACCAGCCAGAGATGATTGGTTACAACTTGCCCATATGAAGTTCTCCTACAGAATGTGTTATAAACATGTATTTAAAACCCCCAATATTTCTTTTAGATTTTGCTTCAAAATGCTTCAGTAATGGACCTGGTCAAAACCTTGCAAGGTACTCGTCTCGACTGCAGCCTGCACAAGGTATCTCCAACGCAGAACACTCTGTTTGAATTAGCCCACCAATTTCTACCATTACACCAGTTAATGCTGCTCATCACTTCTTAAAAACAGAACAGCCTACAAACCACAAGGTTTCGGCAATCAAATGTCCACTTCTTCCTAAAAACAACATTGCAACTGTATCTCAATCTATCTTCATTTGCATCATTGGTCTTCCTTGGTCTGCTACCAACCAGCATTCCAACGTGACACTATGTAATCACCTAACCCACATCTCACCCACACCGTTCATCTTGGGTGCATCTTGGATGCATCGCTTACAACATTTCTACCAATCTTATCCTACACCTACCTCAGAACTTACTGGCTGTGATCAGGGCATATCAATCGCCATTATGCATTTTGCCAAAGGCTTCAGTGTACGGGTATTGTCTTTCTTCCTGTATTGTTTTTTTTTCAGGATCAATAGTTTTTACAAATTTTATTTTGATATTTGCTAAGTGTTTTAGCTGTAGATCATAAAAATCAAATCAAATGGGTTTGTTAATTTAAAAAAGTAATTTTTGTTTTCTGCAACTTTTGTCACAAATACAAAAGTTCCAAGAACTTTATGAAAATTATTTTAAGTCTATCCGATGGCTTGAAGTTCCAGTTTGAGGTCTGTTAAATTAAGATTTTTAATTGTTATTTGTATATACCGTTTCATACCAGGTCCAAAACTTGATTTTGAAATTGTGGGAATGAAGATAGATAAAAAAAGGTTCATTAAATTTTTTCCTAAAGTTTTAAGTTAGTATTTCTGTTTTTTTTTGTCATGTTATCAAAAAGATCTTCAGTTCAGAGATATAAATGTAGTTGAGCTGCAGAGTACTAAAGAGGTTTTATTTCCTGTATGGTTTTCTTTTTTTCTTTTTTTTTTTTTCTTTTCAGCTGGAGGTCTAAATGTTAATTTGTTAGTTTCGTTTCTTCTAGGTCTTTGGTTGAAGAACTACACATCTCCAAATCAAACACTGGTCTGTTTCAAATTCTGTGACCTTGCTCTGGATAAAACTTTTCCAAATTACTGTATCAATTATAGTTTTATTTTTAGTAAAATATAGTATAATTGTGTTTGTGTTCAGAAGTAGTGTTTATATTTCAGTGCTTTATAGACTTAACACGTGTCAGTTACTTACGCACACACACGTTTATAGTTAAGAAATAGGCCATTAGATATTTTTCTTCAAACAAGAATTATGTTAACTAAAGTTTAGATATTGTTAAAAATATAAGACTGGTGGAATAGTTTTTATAGTATTTGGTTGTTTTTCCTTTGGAGTATGTATATTAATTCATTTCTATTGTCAAATTGTGATACGTATATAGTTGCCAATAACTCCATGTTTGTTTTGAGGAAATGATAAAAAATTCTTTGTTACAAGTTTTTTTTTTAAGATTTTAGAAATTAGTAATGTCATATTTTGTGTTAGAAAAAACTTCAATGAAAAAGACATTGGTAGGTAAGATATCTTAGAAATACTAATTGGCAGATTAAATTAACTTGAATAAATATAATGTTGTAGGTATCGATCACCAAGGAGGCGCTATTCGCGTAGTAGAAGTCGGAGTAGGTCTCGCAGTTCACCACGTCGCAGCCTAAGTCGATCACCTGTCAGGAGATAAAAAACTTGGGACATTGTTCAAATGATTTTTGAGGTTTTAAGGTATGTATTAAAATTTTGTGTTTATCGCTAGGTTGGGTTTTAGCTTCACTCGAAGTACATAGTTTACACTGACCAAAGTTGTTATTATTATTACGTGCAGTAAATTCAGAGATACTGGATTTGTTTCATTAAGTACAAAGAAACTAATTAACCTTGAAGTTCACTTATTGAAACTAATTTTCTGATGCTAGACTACATTCCATCATAATTTTAACTCTTGTTTGGAAATAACAAACAGAAGGTATTTTTGGAATTACTTCGTTTTCCACAAACAATATTTGAGCTTCACTCCAAAACAACTACATTTATAATCAGGTGACACTTTTCCCCAAGTTGGTAGCTAATTAAGTACACTTTTTTTTACAGTTCTACTTATAAAGATATTAAAATGCATTGTTTCATCAGTCAGGTACTTTTGCTGTTAAATATATATTTGACGTATTGTGTCAATTAAGTATTTTTATGTTTTGGCCTATTACAGAATTCACTGTAAAGAATTGACCATTGTATGAAATCACTCATTTTGTATGTAAAGTACATATAAAGTAAATAATATCACATATTGATGGTGTTTGTGTTTACACTGTTTTTGTGACTCATATTTTTAAGATCCTGTAACCACAAGAAATTTTGTGCATTAACAGTTTACGAAAGCATGCTTAAAAAACCAAATCTGTTGGTAATCGTAGAATTAACTCGATTATGTCTAGCACTTTCCAGCAAATTTATTGTAAAAAGTAAAGTATGAAATACAACATTAGAGCTGCGTGATTATCTCTTTATAATCAGTTAATCAAAGTTGTGATTAATTAATTAATTAATACCATGCTAAATAATCAACTTAGTCTTCTGTGAATTTATTGATTAATGATCTTGAAGATTAATCAATTAGCAAATCACACAAATTAGCCAGCTGTACTTGTGAGCAGGAAATTATCCCGTTTCTTTATATATATTTGAGTACTATTAGTCGGAAGGATCGCTCGTTCACAGTTTCAAGCATTCCCCTCTTAATCTCTCTCTCTCTCTTTATGTGACACAATTAAGAATTAAGTGCTTTTTGTGGAATTTTAACAAAATCTGACCATAAATATTAGATTTGAATGTAAAATGTAATTGTTTTTTATTTATTTTTATAACTTGCAGGCATTCAATAATTTTATAAAAATTATTTTTTAAATATCCTGTTAGATCATGTGTACTGTTCAATATACATTTAGTATTTATTACATTATTGACTCTAACAATGGGGTATCACACACAGTTCTGTTTTTACTACAAATAAATACTGCATTGCATTTAAATATTTTTTATTGTGCACATATTTTGTAGACACGTTCTTGTAGACAAAGTTGTTCAGCATTAAATTTCAAGTAATTTATTAAACCTGGAAGTACTCGCATAAGAAAGGCTAGACTTTGCATAGTAATTGACTGTTACATTGTACTGTAATATGCGTGAACACTTGTGTATTCCATATTTAGAAGGCATTTATTTCTAATATAAGTAACCTAGGAAACCAGTTTACTGAAAGGTTTTCTCAAACTACCGTTAATTCCTTGTTTACCATAGAGGTGCTTCGTACTCCTGCTGTTGCCATTCCCAAAGACCATACAGGCATACCTTGATAAAGGTTTTTAACACTGAATCCAATGGTATACGGTTTGCACGGCCTTTTTGTAATGAAATGTACAATAAATGAAAAAACCTTTTTGATAATTTCACTGGTTCCTGGGAATACAAAACATCTGACACAGTTTGAACTCTACTTATTGATTAAAAATATACTAATTCAGGCAGGTATTTTAGTGTGTGCTTAAACGTTATTATACTTTAAGCTTGGCTTCACCAATAAGCAAATTTTGAAAGTTATAGAATCAGCTAAGACTAATCGTGTGTGTGTTTGTGTATGATCAATATTAAAACATCGAGACTCTGTGACTTTAGTGTAACAGTCACAAATCCATGTAAACATTCAGTCATTTCAATACTGTTTTTATACTAACACCTTTATGATTAATGTGGATGTTTTGTCTAATATCATCATCAAATAGAATAGGACAGGACATGGCAACATGTACTGTAATCGCATGGCGATGCTCCAAAATCCTTGTAATATAATGTACTCAGTCTCTGTATACATCAAAGATTTGATTCATTACGGTAAGTTAATTTAAAAATAGATTTAATTGTGTAAATATAATGTTATATTATAATGTTATATTACAAAATCCTTGTAATATAATGTACTCAGTCTCTGTATACATCAAAGATTTGATTCATTACAGTAAGTTAATTTAAAAATAGATTTAATTGTGTAAATATAATGTTATATTACAAAATCCTTGTAATATAATGTACTCAGTCTCTGTATACATCAAAGATTTGATTCATTACAGTAAGTTAATTTAAAAATAGATTTAATTGTGTAAATATAATGTTATATTATAATGTTATATTACAAAATCCTTGTAATATAATGTACTCAGTCTCTGTATACATCAAAGATTTGATTCATTACAGTAAGTTAATTTAAAAATAGATTTAATTGTGTAAATGTTTCACAAATAACTAGTACATAAAGTTTGGATTTTGATATTTAAAAAAAAAAACTTTTAGTATAATTAAGTGAATCTTATAGTTTTTGTACGTTAGTGTCCAGTACTACCAAGAAATTCTTGTATATAGTATGTGTAAGGTAATGTTTTAGAGTATGTTAAAACTTGTGGATTGAAACAAAAATGTGAGAATGTAACCAAGATAAAGACATTACTCTTAAATTTTGCTCGAATAAAATATTTTTTTTTTTTTTTACAGAAGTGACGATGTCGTTTGGAGGATAGGTGTGGACGATTTTATCCTGAATGTTTTTCATTGTATTATAAGTCATGTCCCATATTTGACGAAATATTTCTATCTGTAACTGACAAAAGCATGTCCAAGTGTTAGTTTTCTTTTGCTAAAAGTATCGGCTAATTTTCTAGAACGTACAACTCCAGAAAATATTTTCGATTAATTAAAACAAAATTTACTATTATCACTCTAAGTAAAAAGGTTTAGTTTGGCACAATTTTTGGACTGTACTTTGTGAAGAATAAAAAAAATCTATATATATAATTTCATTGTGGTATTGTGCTGATTAAATAACTAAATAAAATGACATAATCATACGGACTGAACATTACATAGTTATTACCAAAGCTTTGTAGTTAAATTGAAATATTCTGAATTCAGTTCAGATCATTGCATCGTATAAAATAGTTTTATTTTGTAAGAAATGTTCAGAAAAATATCAAGTAAACAGTTTAGGGGATCGTATTCTAAGCCATAATTTTCCCTTTAAAGGGTAGAGTTAATTATGTTATGCTTGAAACAAACAAAATAATTTATAACTATTTGAGTTTGTCAAGATAAATGTTTAGACGTTCAAAACAATGTGTAGAAGGATTCAAATTCGATGACGAGGAACCCACTTTGAGACTAATAATGGTTGGAGATGGCTTGAATGGGAATGAAGAAAAACTTTATAAGTTTAACACAACAGCAAATGTACAACGTTTCAACAATGATTTGTCATTTACCTTTGTCATCATCAAGGTAAAGAGTCAGCATCAGCAAGGGTAGTAACAAAATATACAAAGAGATCAGTGTTATTAAAGAAGAATGCAATGTATCACTTTGTGTAGACCAATATGGTGATATTTAAGAAAAGATTACTGATTTTATTTGAAGAGTTTTAAAAAATACCAAACTGTATTCAGCTACTTAATAAATTTTAAACTAACAAAAACTTTCACACAAACAGTTTGAAATCTTCATTGCTTGAATATGAGAACTTGTCTTGATTGGTGAATTCTAGATACTCGTAGTTGTCATGGCAACCTATTAGATACCCTTCGTGGTCTTTACACTCATTAATTATTTACTATTTTATTACTATTTCGTATTACTGAAAATGGCTGCTATTCTTTACGAGAGCCCCAAGAGGGAATGTGTGGTGGCAAGAGTTGGGATCATCCAAACTCTCAATCCAGTTGATAGCACGCATCTCTTCTTGACAAGCAAGTCCAAGCGTTCAGGATTAGAAACCTGATGACCTTGAACATGCTCTGCACTTTTAGCTGTGGGCATGTTATAAAAGTAATAGTCACTTCCATTATTTGGTTCAAAGAGCTGGACCTTCATGGTAATGGATGCTGCATTCTTTTTGGTCAGTAGTTCAAAATTATAGGCTGCTATATCTGAATCTTAGGGGTCCCTAACCTGGCCATTTAGCCCATGCATATGCATGAAGTGCCATACAAGTTGTAAATTCTAATTCATAATAAGATAAACTGATGGTCTATTCTTGGTACGTATCACTATTGTACAATCCCTTCAAAAGATGGCAGTAGATTAGCAGCTGAAACATAGACTACACTCTAACTGATGGTCTATTCTTGGTACATATCACTATTGTACAATCCTTCTAAAGATGGCAGTAGATTAGCAGCTGAAACATAGACTACACTCTAACTGATGGTCTGTTCTTGGTACATATCACTATTGTACAATCCTTCTAAAGATATCCCTAAAGACGGCAGTAGATTAGCAGCTGAAACATAGACTAACTCTAACTGATGGTCTACTTTTGGTACATATCGCTATTGTACAACCCTTCTAAAGATATCCCTAAAGATGGCAGTAGACTAGCAGCTGAAACATAGACTACACTCTAACTGATGGTCTATTCTTGGTACATATCACTATTGTACAATACTTCTAAAGATGGCAGTAGATTAGCAGCTGAAACACAGACTAACTCTAACTGATGGTCTATTCTTGGTACATATCACTATTGTACAATCCTTCTAAAGATATCCCTAAAGATGGCAGTAGATTAGCAGCTGAAACATGGACTACACTCTAACTGATGGTCTGTTCTTGGTACATATCACTATTGTACAATCCTTCTAAAGATGACAGTAGATTAGCAGCTGAAACATAGACTACACTCCAACTGATGGTCTATTCTTGGTACATATCACTATTGTACAATCCTTCTAAAGATGGCAGTAGATATGCAGCTGAAACATGGACTACACTCTAACTGGTAGTTAGTATTTTTAAAAAAAGTAATTAATTTGAAGGGCATAGGTGGACGATGTGGTAAAAGCTCTGGATTTTGCAGCTGGAGAGCTGGGTTCGAATCCGTACAATATCACAAAATATTATGTGAACTTTAAGCTGTAGATGCATTATAAAACTGACAGTCAATTCCTAGTATGGTGATGCTGATTTCCCTTTGGTCAGTAGTTCTAAATTAGGGATAGCAAGAGATAACCTTAGTGGTTATGCCATAAATATAACTGATTAATTAATTAATTTAATTAATAATTAGTCTTAAGTAATCGTATAGCAGTACTAAGCATGACAACGATTGATATCCAATCGCTAAAATCACCAAACAGCACTAAAATCCGAATTTCGATCCCAGTGATGGACACAGCAGATTGCCCAATGTGGATTTACTCTCAAAACAAACAAAGTAGTTAGCCTTTTAGCTACATTCACCAAAAGTTAAAAATAAGGAGGACACTTGACATTAGTTCTAAATTTGATCAAAATCAAATGAAAACTTTTCCAGTTATTCTGATCATAGACACGTAAACAAGTGAAACCAATATCACTGCTGTCTGTTAGGGGTAATTAACATTTTGCTGAACCATGGGCCTTCTGTTACACAGTTGCAACAGAACCACTTGTGAACAGGATCGATGCCCTGAAGAATGTTAACATAAATACACATGTATACTTTGATAGTTATAATATACCTTGTGTGGGCCGAGCGTGGCCTAACAGATGACAAATTTGAGGATCATAATTCGCAACCTGATGTCTTAAAATCAGTTTGGGACCGTATATATGTTATAAGATGACGGTCAAATCCTAATATTTAGGCGGTACAACCGTTGACTAGCTGGTTTGGAATCTCGCGCAAAGCTACACGAGGGTTATTTGCGCTAGCCGTCCCTAATTTAGCAGTGAAAGACTAGAGGGAATGCAGCTAGTCGTCACCACCGACCGCCAACTATTAGGCTACTCTTTTACCAACGAATAGTGAGATTGATCGTAACATTATAACGCCTCCACGGCTGAAAGGGCGAGCATGTTTGGTGGGATGGGGATTTGAACCCGCGACCGTCAGATTGCGAATGAAGGGCTCTAACCACCTGTCCACGTCAGGCCCTTAAACTAGTTGTTTACCGCCTAGCTCACCACTTTAAAATAATATATTTTTTCCATATTAGTTAAATATAATTGCGTTTCAGCTATTGCGATTCGATTGTAAATACTCGTGTTTTGTTAAGGAAAACTCTGATAAGTCTCCTTCTACAAGATGTTTCCCGATTTGTATATATATATATTGTTTAATTTGAGAGCAATTCCTTGTTGAGGAAGAGTTAAAATAATAATCCTATGTGTGTAAATAGAGAATGTTTTTCAACGCGTGCATCGTTTTAGACGAAATGTCGTTATCACAACAGGAAACAGTATTTAATAACATACAAAACTTAATGTCCTCTTTGTATCACACGCAAGATACCCGGATGTGTCAAGAGTGTCGATTACCCTAATACCACGAATAGTATTTTGTAAACTCAGCGCTGTTGCTAGGCAACAAGTGAGCCACGAATTGTTTTGCACATACCCGCCACCAGAACACTCACGTCGTTTTGCATATGTTTTATTAACCAGCCGTCAATGTTACGTTAAACAAAAGGAATACTGATCAGGTCAAGTTTTTGCTAGTGGATTGTTTTTGCTTTTTCCTCACAAAAAATCCGCATGAACGGACTTAACGGTAAGTTTTAAAAATATAGAGTATCTGCATAGAAATTATTCATAAATTTACGGTGATGTCCATGTTCTCGTAGGATATAAATCATTTGCTTATTAAAATTCAACCTGAAGAAAATGTTTAGTTAGGGTTTGTTTCATACGGTTGATTGATCGAATGAAATATTAATACGTTTGTTTGAAGTTAAGCACAAAGTTACACAATGGGCTATCTGTGATGTGGCCACCACAGGTATCGAAACCCTGTTTATAGCATTGTAAGTCCGCAGACATACCGCTGTGCCACTGGGGGGCTAAAAACGAAGGTTTGTTTGAAGTTAAGCACAAAGCTACACAATGGGCTCTCTGTGCTCTGCTCACCACGGGTATCGAAACCCGAATTCTAGCTGTGCCACTGGGGGGGCGTTCCCGTCCGTCTCTATTACATTCTTTATATATTGACTATGGTTTATTGTCTAACGAAGGTGTCCCAGAAGTCTGGACCCATAAGGAAAAATACACAATATCAAATTGCATGCCATTAACAGCCCCACACACATATCAGTTCTTGGTATATTGTGCCATTAGGGTGTTTCCTGAAATATACACAACTGTCATTAGAAATGTGTTTGTTTAACTTTAATAATATGACGTCTATTTTCCCTATGGCTCCAGACTTCTGGGGCACCCTGTGTTTATATATATATATATATATATATTGTGTGTGTATTCCACCTAAAGATAGAAATATATATCTATATATGTATTTATTATATATATGAAGGTGCATCAGTAAAAGTCCCATGGTAGTTCAACAGCGCCCCCTCCCCCCAGTGGCACAACGCTAGAATCCTGGTTTCGATACCGGTGGTGGGCAGAGCACAGATAGCCCATTATGTAGCTTTTTGTGCTTAATTACAAACAAGCTCAACGGTATGTCTGAAAGCATATAACTCTAAAAGCTGAGTTATGAAACCTGTGATGGGACAGTACAGATTAGCCATTGTGTAGTTTTAGACATAACAACAACCAAACCACATAATCAAAATCGTTTATTAATATGTTTACAGCTTATTAATTCATTAACGTATCCTATATTAAGTCAGGTCTGAATATATAAGGTCCAGTCCTTTGGACTATCACGAACTGCTATTGTTAAAAGTACTGTTATGTCTCTGTTAGTTTGTTGATTTCCGGTATACATTCTTTTCGAGGAACTTCAGCGATACAAGTCCTTTCTAAAATACAACTAGTTTATTCTTTCTCGATACAACTTTGCAATACACAGAATTTCCACCGTCACTAATTTAACTACTTTTATAAACACACGCTATAATTCACAGCGATTCACACACTTTACTTACGGCGCCAGCTGTTGGCTCGACTCAATTAATTATCTCTATATCTATCTATGCAATTCTATCTTTTTTTCGCTGGCTTTATTTGCCGGGCTTATATACTAAAAAAGAGGGTGCTTGGAACAAACTAGAGTTGCCAGGAAAATTCATGATTCTTCGAGAGACTCCAGCGCGCATGCTCCCAGCGTTGCCTGACTTCCGCTGTCGTAACAGTACTTTACAATTGCCGGATCTTCATTTTATCCAATCTTTTTCGTGCTTCTTTGTCTTCAGGCTTTAACTTTTTTAGTCACCAAAGCTTGGAGTTGGAATATTTTAAATTTCTTCTTGGATTGAGTTTTACATTTAAATGGAAATCCCATGCAGAGAATATTAAACTTTAAATAATTATATACAGTTTCAAACAATCAATAGGTTGCGCTCCTGTAAACATAAAGGTTTTATTACTAATAAAATCTGAAACGTTTCACAGTCTCTGAGGCTAAATTTGATGTGTGTATTTGTTTAAATAGATTTTGTGTGTTTGTCCTGTTTTTCGTCAGCCATTGTTATTGTTGACTTTAAAAATCACTAAATTAAAATTACTTAAAGATGTCTGTACCAGACAAAGGGCCTAACTCGGTGAATGTATCATTGATCGTGTAACGGTCGAACAATGAAATCACGTCGTGTATCATATTGCTTTTAAAAACACAGGACAGTGACCTCATTCAACAGAACCGATGTTGAATCGTTACCGTTGTGGTACAACGTGTTTATGTGTATACATAACCAAAACACATAAATAAAGGTTTCCACTTGTAGATACAGATAAAACTACAATTCTTGAACTCTTCATTTCCTACCGGTTTCGTGACTTCAAAGATTACTCTGCAGGATGTAATTTTACAAATGATTTACAATAAAAAACATTCAAGTGCCAATTTTTAACTCACTATAAATACCATGAATTAAATACATATTTTTCAAAATGTACAAACATAAAGTGCAATCCTTATACAAATGAAATACGTTAAAATGTGTTCAAAAAATCAGTTAGTTTAAGCTTAAAAAATATACTGTTACGTCTCTGGTCGTTTGTTAATTTCCCGTATAATTTCTTTCGGATGAAACTTTAGCGACACAAGTCCTTTCTTAAATAAAACTAGTTTATTCTTTCTCAATGCAACTTTGCAATACACTTAATTTCCACAGTCACTTTAACTTAAACACACGCCATAATTCACAACGATTCATACACTTTACTTACGGTCACTACCGCGCTTCACTCATTTGTCCGTCTCTATCTCTGCCTGTCTGCAATTCAATTAATTATCTCGCTTCATTTGCCTGCTTACATACCAAAATAGAGGGCGTATAGAAAAGGCTAGAGTTGCCAGGAAGAGACATGATCCTTCTAGAAACTCCAGCGCGCATGCTTCCAGCGTCGCGTGACTTCCGCTGTCGTAACAGTACCTTCAATTCTTTTCTATTCCTTTATCAATTTTCTTTTGATTAAAATTTTATTTTAAACTGTACTTTATCCTGTTATTTTAGAAAAGTATATTATTTCCATAATCTTTAGTAATTTAATACAAAAATATATATTTCTTACTTTATTTTCCATTTTCGTTTTTTTTTGTTTGTTTGTAATTAAGCACAAATCTACACAATGGGCTACCTGTGCTCTGCTCACCACGGATATCGAAACCCGGATTCTAGCGTTGTAAGTCCGCAGACATACCGCTGTGCCACTGGGGGGCTCCGTTTTCGTAATTCTCACTCATAGTTTTATCAGATATAAATAACACTAGATTTGAAGTCACGTGATTTTCGGCATGCGCAAGCGGCCACCATTGCTATGTGTTGAACTTTCAAAGCCCGCCAGTTGAATTTACAAGTCCTCTGGTGGGACAGCGGTAAGTTTTCTGATTTACAATGCTAAAATCAAGGGTTCGATTCCCCTCGGTGAACACAGCAGATAGCCCGAAGTGGCTTTGCTGTAAGAAAACAAACACACGAATCTACAACTTATGGCCATTTTCCATCTGAACTAGACGTTTGGATAATGTATATATTCGATTTTAATAAATTTGTCAAGACAAGATGATCTAAACCTAATTTTAACTTAGAAATAAGTGCAAAAATCGTCCACAAAACATACATATCTGACCTGTCATATGAAGAAGGCATTGAATTTTATCCCAGAGGGAAGTCTTAAGATTAAAATCTGTTCTTTTTCCTCGGTGTTTATTATGTGTCACAGAAAAAATAAACATCTCAAATGTTGTTGCCAATGAATAAGAGGTGGCGCATCATTTCCTTTTCTTGGGGGGGGGGGGGTAGAGAAGAATGTTATTTATGTATCTGCATGTACAAACATTCAATGTTCTTCATTGAAGTGGATGGAAATAATTAAGAAAATTTATGTTATAAATATAATAAAATTAATTTGGATTTAGATGAGTATTTGAGGCAAAACTTGATACAAATGCTTGAAAATATACACACATATATATATACAATATAAAGTCCAAGGATTTTGGATTGAAATGGGCCACCTGCAAAATTTTAATCACTCATGTAATTCTGAGAATGAGTTTATTGACCGTATTATTAGGCCTGTTAATTCCTGGATAAACCATAACGTCACTGATCAGACTAGACTTGTCTTAAACCATACAAATTAACCCAAATTTCCTCTCTCATCCATTAGCGAATTGGTATATTTAATAAACTTCTACCTTGACACTCGGTGATAGCATCAAAAGTGGATGTACACAGAACTTGTATCTGTAGACAGTGTATGTTTTGGCAATGTCTCTGTATAGCCTGACTAACCAGCAGGCAACATTAGAATGTCGTGGATGATTATTTTAACTTATATGAGTATTGTCAGCATTTCAAATTAAAAGCTATCAAACTTTCATGCCGAATTGTGTAAGTGAAATGCCTTCCAAAAAAAAAAGACTTGGATGTATACTTTGAAACTAGATGTAAACATCCACGCCAGTTCGTTGTCGCCACCATGTACACGGCGAAGTTGCCCACCGTAACTTAATATATTATACAAAAAAATGGTTTTACTTACTTCTAGAATGTAACACCCTCCGCTTCGACTCTTAGTCAGCATTTCAAATTAAAAGCTATCAAACTTTCATGCCGAATTGTGTAAGTGAAATGCCTTCCAAAAAAAAAAGACATGGAAGTATACTTTGAAACTAAATGTAAACTACCACGCCAGTGCGTTGTCGCCTCCATGTACACGGCGAAGTTGCCCACCGTAACTTAATATATTATACAAAAAAATGGTTTTACTTACTTCTAGAATGTAACACCCTCCGCTTCGACTCTTAGTCAGCATTTCAAATTAAAAGCTATCAAACTTTCATGCCGAATTGTGTAAGTGAAATGCCTCCTAGAAAAAAAAACAAAAACTCGCATATATACCTTAAGACTAGGTGTAAACATCCATGCCAGTTCGATGTCGCCACCATGTACACGGCGAAGTTGCCCACTGT